ATATTAACTCTTTTGGCATTTGATTCTTCTTGTTCAATTTTCAAATTAAATTATTATTTACAGTTCCGTATACAAAAATACATTTACAAAACATTGAATTTCTTTAAGAAATAGAGTTCTTCCTCTCTTCGGCCTTCCCGGTGGATTCCAGGAGGCTGTGGCGGTGTTCTGCCTCATTAGTGTAGTAGATTTCCGTCTAATCAAATAACTTAAGTCAACTCCTTGCCTTTTTGGCATTATTTGACTATTATGGGTAATATGAAGAGCGGTATTTGAATTGCTGTGAATCTATAAATGATTTTACTTCTCGTTATTGTCCCTGAAAACCCATCAAAACATAGGTTTGATTCTTCTTGTTAGATTTGAATTGTGTAAACCGTGCAAGTTTCCGTCCCACTGAAAGACGTTTGGTGAGACATCTTAAAGACGTCTTTGAGCTCTCACAATATTATATGCATTTGACCAGACGTCTTTAAGACATCTTAAGAACGTCTTTGAGCTCACAGATTAAAAAGCCTAAATTATGGCTTTTACATGACGTCTTATCAGACATTAATAACGTCCTAGGATATTCAGAACAAACCGAGACACATAAAAAAGTCTTTTAGACGTCGTGTGCTATCTGGGTAACTTCTAAATTCTACAGATTTTTTAATAGAAGATGAGAACGACCACAAAATATTTCTTTGTAAGAAATGCCCTTTCGTTGGCCCCATAAAGGTCGATCCCAAACACGTTTCTATAGAAACCAACAAATTTTAAAAATCCTTAGTATTTCCAGTTACTAAATGACCAAATAAATCTAATAATACCTTTACTTCTAGTGATGCAGATAGTAAGTCAGAATTAGTTAAAATTATATTTTCGTGTCCATTAATTTGTAATATATCTGTATTAGAGAAATCGAATTGTATTATTTTTGTTGACATGGAACGTCTTATTTCATTTCAGAATTATCATGTAAGTTCTGGACAACAATTTCGTATTTAGGGCTTGTTGAATGATGTTGGAGATCATCTCTTTGTACTTCACCTAATTTTGATAACTATATCATTCGCATACTATTGGAAATCCACCGCCTGCAGCGTCTAGCAAGTTATCCACCAGAATGATCTACAGAAGGCTTAAAAGTACGCCGCCTTGTGGACATACTCTGGCAACCCTGAAAATGACTCTCCCTGCGTGATGAAATGGTATTCCGCATTACAGGCATGCTTTTAATCCAATTACAGATCAGTTTTTGATTCCTATTCTTTCAATTGCTGCGAAAAGAGACAGAAAAAGGGCATTATATTAAACGCGTCTTCTATATTAAGGAAGGCCTAAATGTTTAGCTCGATTGAAAAGATGTCGAACTACTTTTCGTTTTTGGTCCATATTTCTGCTCTACTATGGAGTCCCGTAAGCTCTTTTTTCTCCTTTAGTGGGTAGATGTCCTGATAGGCAATCATAAGGGCATTTTAAAATTGATTATTTGCCACTTTAATCTCTGTATTACTTTTAATATTTTTAATTACGTTTCCCAGCCCCTCCTGGAGTGAATTTTCATATCCACTTCAGTCTGTGCTTTTTGGGTCACGAAATTGGAGAGTGGGTACTCGATCCATCTTCATGTCAAATATGATATGTCTGTAGTCAGATCATAAGGGTTCGGTGGACACCTTCACGATTTTTCTTCACTGCAATTGGTAACAAGCCTAAGTCTTTAAAAATTAGCGCTTCGGGTATTATATAATAATATTTAATAGTTGTTTACCTCGAACATGGATATCGGTACTTCCCCAGACCCTAAAACAAATAGTTTATAAACTATCGCTGGAGGAGGTAAGTAGTCTTGGACTGTGTCTCCTGAGAAGTAAGCAGAGCAGACGACGACTTTCATCTTATTGTTCCTCGCGGCAATCGAGATCTGGACTCCTCCCACTTCACTGGTTTATTAAACTGTTAACATAAAGAATTTTATATTATTTCGGATAAGAAGGCATGCTCTTGGTTTGTCCGGAGAGGTACCGGCTACTAACTTACCAGAACAGTTTCCAAGGCCACTGTTACGGCAGTTATTGGAAATCCAGGGCATCTGGGTAAACGTGATGTCTAGACTCTCTTTAAGAAACTTCCTGCCAAGGAGATTAGCTTGGAGAAAGAGCATCGGCTTGTTCATTGTTAGTGGGTGTAGTAAAGCAAGTAACGTGTTTTTACTTGGTTTTGTGGTCAATATCTCTGATGTTTATCTGATTGATAATGACTAACGTAGGTAATAAATATATATGTAATACTGGTATACCGATAGAGTATACGAGGTGAAGAAGTACTTCTTCAAGATGTGAATTTCCAAGCAATCCTGCTCTTAAATACAAACCAATTAAAAATACTCAAGCTTACTAAACTATTTGAGTTAGACTTAAAATAAAAAACACAGCATATTGCGAAAAGTATACAGTATAATTATTCAGTAAAATCAATTTATTTGACCCACACAGGGTTTTTGTAAACCAAAAAAACTGATATATCACTGTTTTTTATAACAAAACCAAACTTAAAAAATTTAAAAGCATTTAAGGTTCTGGTAATGGTATGTAAATAGCAGTTTTGTCGTCCTGTCCATATTTTATACTTAGGGACTAGTCATATAACCTTAAAAGAATTAGTTGTCTTCTAAGGTCACAGTACTATTACGGCCTTGGATTTTTTGCTGTTTAGCAATTGGATGTATCCCATTGTAACGGTTGGAACCGTTTTCGTTATTTTGACATAAATATCTCTACTCAAATGTCATTTGTCGTTTATGCCTTGTTTCAAAAGTTCATATTGCACTTGATTCGAATATATCAACCAGATCAGATTCATTTCAAAATATCTGGGTCATCCGATTTACTAAATAATTTTTATCTATCGTATATTCCGTCTGATTTTATAAGGTAACGTTTAATACCGACATATTGTTGAAAATATATATTTTGCACGGACTGACGGACTGACGGACTGACGGACTGACGGACTAACGGACTGACGGACTGACGGACTGACGGACTGACGGACTGACGGACTGACGGACTGACGGACTGACGGACTGACGGACTGACGGACTGACGGACTGACGGACTGACGGACTGACGGACTGACGGACTGACGGACTGACGGACTGACGGACTGACGGACTGACGGACTGACGGACTGACGGACTGACGGACTGACGGACTGACGGACTGACGGACTGACGGACTGACGGACTGACGGACTGACGGACTGACGGACTGACGGACTGACGGACTGACGGACTGACGGACTGACGGACTGACGGACTGACGGACTGACGGACTGACGGACTGACGGACTGACGGACTGACGGACTGACGGACTGACGGACTGACGGACTGACGGACTGACGGACTGACGGACTGACGGACTGACGGACTGACGGACTGACGGACTGACGGACTGACGGACTGACGGACTGACGGACTGACGGACTGACGGACTGACGGACTGACGGACTGACGGACTGACGGACTGACGGTCTGACGGACTGACGGAATGACGGACTGACGGACTGACGGACTGACGGACTGACGGACTGACGGACTGACGGACTGACGGACTGACGGACTGACGGACTGACGGACTGACGGACTGACGGACTGACGGACTGACGGACTGACGGACTGACGGACTGACGGACTGACGGACTGACGGACTGACGGACTGACGGACTGACGGACTGACGGACTGACGGACTGACGGACTGACGGACTGACGGACTGACGGACTGACGGACTGACGGACTGACGGACTGACGGACTGACGGACTGACGGACTGACGGACTGACGGACTGACGGACTGACGGACTGGCGGACTGACGGACTGACGGACTGACGGATTGACGGACTGACGGACTGACGGACTGACGGACTGACGGACTGACGGACTGACGGACTGACGGACTGACGGACTGACGGACTGACGGACTGACGGACTGACGGACTGACGGACTGACGGACTGACGGACTGACGGACTGACGGACTGACGGACTGACGGACTGACGGACTGACGGACTGACGGACTGACGGACTGACGGACTGACGGACTGACGGACTGACGGACTGACGGACTGACGGACTGACGGACTGACGGACTGACGGACTGACGGACTGACGGACTGACGGACTGACGGACTGACGGACTGACGGACTGACGGACTGACGGACTGACGGACTGACGGACTGACGGACTGACGGACTGACGGACTGACGGACTGACGGACTGACGGACTGACGGACTGACGGACTGACGGACTGACGGACTGACGGACTGACGGACTGACGGACTGACGGACTGACGGACTGACGGACTGACGGACTGACGGACTGACGGACTGACGGACTGACGGACTGACGGACTGACGGACTGACGGACTGACGGACTGACGGACTGACGGACTGACGGACTGACGGACTGACGGACTGACGGACTGACGGACTGACGGACTGACGGACTGACGGACTGACGGACTGACGGACTGACGGACTGACGGACTGACGGACTGACGGACTGACGGACTGACGGACTGACGGACTGACGGACTGACGGACTGACGGACTGACGGACTGACGGACTGACGGACTGACGGACTGACGGACTGACGGACTGACGGACTGACGGACTGACGGACTAACGGACATTTTTTAAAATTGTTTAAAATCGATTGAGAAAGATTTGAGTACAACAAATTTAAAATTTAAACCAATATTAAACATTTTAGTTGGTCAAAAGTAAAGCTATAATATACTTTACAGACTACTGTGTGAAGAGTTTGATTAAGTGTTGCAATATGCATATATTATATGCTTGTTACTAAAAATTTCTGGGTAATAGACAAACGCTGCTGAAATACATCAGAAATAATTAAAAGTGTGTGTTTAACCGTGTAATTATTAATAACCTAAATTTTTATTTTATTGGAAAATCTGAAATGAGACTTATAGAATGTTACAATTTTAGATAGCATAAAGAAATCATCACCAAGCCGAATAATCAGCGTATCTTCAATGGCTGCAAGATTCTCCAAATTAACAATGAACACTTTGAGCAGATTGAATAACTATGACAACGATAATTTAGTATATTGCGACACAAAATTGTGCAATATTTTGTTTACACAAAAACTAGCGAAGTTACTCCAAGATGAGAATGTTAGTGTATTTTCCGTTCATCCCGGACCTGTGGATACTCCAATTATAACTGGGCGTTGGTCTCCAAAACTGAAATTTATAGGAAGGATTTTAACCAGGTTATTTTTTTTGGTAAGCTATTTTTTTTACCAATATTTTTTTTGTATTTTACTCTTTATAGGGCAGATTACTACAAAAAAGAACTGATGGTTTATTTTTTTTGAGGTGGTTGATGTTTCAGAACACTGGTCAAATAATTTTTAATTTTTAATTACTTTTTATAATACAAACAAAGTTTTCGTTACAAAATTAAACCATGGAATATTATAGAACACTAACAGCCGGTTGCAAGAACAATCGTTAAATATTTATAGCTAATAATCCATTAAAAATGCATTTAGATCCTCGATAATTATTGAACGTCGTAAATCTGGCAACACGGTGCGTTTTCCTAAATGTGACCAATGCTATATATCATTATAAAAATTGTCCACCCATATTTAAATAGGACTACGAAAAGCGTCTTTCCAAGTGTTCACTGAATAAAATCGTTCTGGCCCAAACGTGTTTTAAAATAAAATGTCAGCATTTAAATATTTCATTCGACCTATTTTACTTCTAGACACGATATTATGTAAGGTGTTTTAAACACATATTTGTTTGTGTTGTAATGTTGAGTATCCATAACGTCAAATAATATTAAGAGATCTAAACAATTTTATACCAGGGAAACAGTAACAAAGCCTACAAAAAACATATAAAATCACAAACTGACACACATTGTGAATATCTGAGCCATAAAACATAAAAAAAAACACTGATTATTATAATAAAAATGTATTATTAATTATACAGAACAAAGTTTTCTCGATTACTAAATAAAATTAATTTTATAAATTGCTTTCATCTTTTATTCAATTAACAATATAAACTATCTGTATCTGTAAGGTGGGGAAGGAGGATACTTCCACAGCACTTAGGCCCATTGTATATCCTCCAAGGGTATTAGGCCCATTGTATGTCCTCCAAGGGTATATAAAACCTGCCTATCAACTTGTCAAAACCTGCTGGTTACCGCTGAGAGATGTCTAGTGATAGCTGCATCTTCATAGCTAATTAAAGTCCTACAGGTTATCAACCCGTCAAAAACCTGCTGATTGACGCTGAGTGGTGTCTACAAACAGCCATCTTCTCAACTTATCAAAGACCTGCAGGTTGTTAACTCAAAAATAACCTGCTGGTTGACGCTGAGGGGTGTTTACAGACTACAGACATCCATCTTTACAGATCATCAAAGTCCTGCAGGTTATTAACATCACCGAGAGGTGTCTCTAGTTGCCCCATTTTTAAAGTGGCCATTTGGTGGGCTTCTACCAGCCCAATGCTAAATGTCCTGGTTAAATATAACTATAAAATGTATATTTAAAACTTTAAAAATCTTAATGACTAAAAAACACTACGCACAGCTGGGCAGTACAAGTAAAGTTTACTTAAAATTGTACTTAAGTACTCAAAGTGAACTCAAAATTTTAATTAGGTACTCAAAGTTTTCAGTAATAGGTACTTCTAAGTACATTTACCTTTAACGAGTACGAGTATCGAGGTGCCCAGGCCCAAGCAAGACTCAGCTTGTTTGTTGTATCTAAAGGTGGGTTGACATTGCTCGCGAACAGTGTGAACAAACACAACAAGCGAAACAAATGGAGCAAACAGTACGAATGAATCAAAAATCATATTCGTCGTGTTTGGGAATTTGCAACGTTCCTTGTGATTGCAATCACCCGAAACACTTGTTTCGACTGTTCGGTCGGGTACATCAAAGGGATGCATATTGCGTGCGCGAGCACAGTTGACGGCGGTTTGGTGCTTTTTTTTGTTTTTACTGTCCGCTTTCAAGTTTATCGCAAAAATAGTCAAAACGGATTCAAGGGTCCTCAAAACAAAAAAATCTATCGAAAACTCGAGGTCGAAAAAAATCATGATTCCTATACTTTCCTTATTTGTACACAGAAAATAAAAATGTAGTAAATATCCTGTTTTATAGCAAGACAATGCCCCTCTTTAGTGGTTTGTTGTTGCTTAAGATGTGTTCTGCCTTTAAAGGCTATCATACTTTTATCAACGGACATATTATTTCTGTTTATTGTATGAGTTTATAAAACTATTATTCAGACACGAAAGTAAAGGCCTTACCTTATACATTTTGTCAAAAGTGGGTTCTTCCTTTTTCTGCATAGGTGAATTATGTGCAATATGTAAAATCTCAGAATTTTGAAAAATCGTTTTAGCGGCATTATGGCAGAAATCTGTTTTGATTAAACATTTATATCAGTTGACCAATATAAACGAAGGCTTGGTAAATTGTTGAAATCATAGTAACAAGCATATCTATAAATGCTTGAAGCTACTTTTTAGTTAATTTTAACGTGGGGCTCTGTTGTTGAGAGTATGTATTAGACTCGTTAACGCCTACTTTTTCATCGTCTTTCTGATACCGATCTATATTTTTTAACATTACCACTAGTTTATTTGGCAATTTAACTTAAGGCAAAATTTTTAAACAATTTTCGTTTGGTGCTGTGTACCGACTTAATGCATCTGATATCAAATTCCTAGAATTAGAAATATACTTAATTTCGAAATCAAGATCTTGAATGGCCAACGCATATCGCGATATTTGAGCATCCATGTCTGTAATTGAGTGATTATCTGGGTAGACTGTAAATTTTTTACCTAACAGATAAATGTTAAATTTCATGAACGCCCATACTACACCCAAGGCCTCTTTTTCATTTATATGATATCGCTTTTCCCTGTCTGCATAAATACGCGAAGCCCAAGTCACCGGTTTTCTTTTGCCATCTACCATCTGAAATAGATGACACCCTAATGCATTGTCTGAGGCGTCCGTCTTGAGACAGAAAGACACATCGTCCCTAGGAAGATACAATAGTGTAGCCTAGCTCACTGCATCTGTTATTTTCTCAAACGCGTCTCATTCTATTTGTGTCCACCTCCACCGTGTCTTCTTTTTTAACAGACTTGACAAAATTGCTGTTAAACCTTACAAAAAGATCCATCGAAATTAGCGAGACCTAAAAAACTTTGCAATTATTTGACATTTTTAGGTACCTTGTAATCCTGTAACTCTTAAAGTCGATTTGGATCTGGCCTAATCTCATCTGAACTAAGAACATATCCTAAAAATAGCATTTCCGATCTCAAGAACTTACACTTTTTATAATTCAAAGAACACCCTGCTTCTCTTAAAACTGTAAAAACCATATTTAAATTTTCTACATGTTATTCAAAAGAAAAATAAAAAATTAAAATATCGTTAATAAAACTATCAGAGAAATTATTACATTGAATTAACACACCTAACAAACGCAAAAACACTTGTAGACAAACCAAAAGGAAGCCCACGGAAACAATAAATCCTTCTATCAAAATTAAAACTAGTATATTTCCAAGATTCTAGAGTGACGAGAACTACTAGTAAAGTCTAAAGTTGACATACATTTGGTGGATCCAACACGACGTAATTTTTTTTCCGTTGGTACCGGTGTATCGTGTTCTTTTTTCATTAGAGAATTCAAGTACCTAGCATCTAGACATAACCTAACACTATTATCTTTCTTTAATGTAGCCATTAGAGAAGAAATATATGGCGTAGGCATTTGTTTGATAACTCCTAAACTTACCATCCTCTTCAATTCTTTTTTGACTACCAGCCGGTGTGCCTCTGGGATAGGATACTGTTTTTGACAAAATTATCTATTATCCCTAAGGAATATTTTATGAGAAAAATTGGCGATAATATCTAGTTTTTTAAAAAAATGTTCCCAAATTACGTTATAATTCCTGCATTCTTTGATGGTTGTCCCCTTTAATACCCTGGGCAATTATAGTGCCAGTGTCCTGAACTGTTTGTAGTATTTAGATATTGATTCTTTTGATTTAACAAGAATCTAGGTTACCATATTTGCAACCAGGATGTACATCCAGAATTTTTACTCATGCATTTTTCGGTTCTATCAAAAACATTCTATGCTCAGTATCTATTTTTGATGGAACACTTGTAAAAAATCAACTCCCAAAATCACTTGAATTAATAAATCCGGTATTACTAAAAATTCATGACGATAATCGTGCCCTACTATCTTAAAATTAATCAAAGATTGATGACAAACTTTTCTTTCTCTGCTTTTGAATGTTACGTTACTGTAACCCCCGTGCACGTTAATGTAAGAATTCTACTAACGCTAACATCCCCCAAACTTTCTCGTCAAGTGCACAAACTTCACTCCCCGTATCGAGTAAGGCATTAAAAAATAAACCAAAAATATCAATTTTACAACAGTTGATTGCCATTCTTATTGCAATCATCACCGTTGCATTCTATTAAACAAATCATCTCTAATATTACTTAAATTACTAATTTACCTTTCGAAATCCAATCCCAATGACGGACCCATTCTTGAGGTTGATTTTCATTTTCCAGCTGATCTATATTATCGAGATTAAGCGCCACTACTTTTACTTCCGAATATATCTTCTGGCCCGTTTTTATCAATTTTTTAAAAAATACTACCATAAGTATTGGTTTACAACCCAGAAGTCTTTTCAAAATAAGAGGCTGCGTGTTTTAGTTTATCTAACGCTAACTTGATCCTTTCCAACCCTATCACCGTATTATAAATATTTGGAGAAAAAAGTCTAGGTATTCTCTGAATAATTCGAATTTTTGACATTGAAGGGTTTGGGTGTTTACTTAAATTCGTAGCCTTTCTCTTACCTCTTCCTAAATATCCTCATGCCAAAACTGAATAATAAACCCTTCTTTAAAATTAAAAGAACGCTTAAAATAGTTCAAAAGTTTGACACCATAATAAAGCTTCTCCCTTAAATTATTAGTACATTAAGAATTTATAGTACTCGAAAGAAACTTTATTAATTTTAAACGCATATTCTAACTTATTTACAAAATCTACAGGGTGAATATTGCCCTGATTATCAAATAACGGCAATTTCTTACTTGCCTTTAGGCTAAAGTCGCTTTCATTATCCCTAAATAGGCGCTTCTCTCCATTATTGTTGTGATTTGGATTTAACTGTTGCATTCTAGAAAT